TCTAATAAACATTAATTTCAATAATTCTCACGCGTAAAATAAAAAAAGTTATTCGTTTATGGTAAATATTTGTAAAGCTATTTTAAAACGTTTGATTTTTTCGATGTAATTGCAATTAATCTTTACACGGAGAGAATTACTTTTTTAATTTACCCTGCAAATCATGTTAATTGTGGGACAATATAGTATTTAGGCAAATTTTACTGTGCACTACAATAAGTATTTTACAGTAAAATTTATTGTAATACACAATAAAATTTTCCTAAATACTATATATTGTCCCACAATTAACATAATTTTCAGGGTAAATTGAAAAAAAAATTCTTTCTGTGTAGAATGAAAAATTCTTTTAAAAATGACAAATTTGACAGCAAGATGTTAATTTGTAAATTCATTTATGTATTTATTATGTAGGCTACAAAAAAATATTTCTGCCAATTATCGCTTTGTAATCACAAACATATGTAAATTGCATCAAATAATTATAACGGAAACGAAATGTGTTTCCAATTTGATCCTAATTCAATTCTTTCGATATCGTATTTAATGTCTTACTGCGAGCAAATGAAAGTCAAGGAATAGTCTAAATGTGAAGTAGAAGTCTAATGGACTGACTTCTTTCTCCACTGCGGCCGGAACGAAAAACGTTATTAGCGCGACAATGCGAACGTGAAGTTGTGCTAAAAAAGCTTCTAGCGACAGATGCGAGACGAAATTGCGTTCGTTGGAAACTGCTATAGAAACGGCAGCTGCTTCGCTGGCAAGTCAGAAATCTCCTAAACCCTATCTTACCGATTGTTATAGCACTGTGATAACTTATTTTAAAGTTTAAAAATGAAAAAATATAAAAAATTAAGGACTCCATGTTCCAGGGAATATTTTTTCATTTATTTTAGTTACAATTTTAGTATTATAGTGTGGCGCTCATTAACATTCAATCTATCTAAATTTATGCATCTCAATACAAAATGAATATATATTTACATAAACATAAATTAGTTATTTATAATTGAAGATAGTTTCGAGAATGAATAATAATTAAATATAATTACGAAACAATACGAAATATTTGGAAGTCAATTAATTTAAAAAGACATTTTACCGATCGGTACATTAAAAGTTATGATACGAATTCTCTTGTGAAAGAGAAATACTCAATAACATTATTTAAACTTTTCTGCAAAGATCAATTCTTAAATAATACTTAATAAAAATATTAGCTAATATTGCCATAAGTCTCTCTCTCTCTCTCTCTCTCTCTCTCTCTCTGCCCTTTTTTCTTTATATTAGATAGTAAAATCTTTTTCTTAATCATAGTGCAACAACATTATACATATATAATTGACTCTCTTAAATTATTTTTCCAATAAAAATTAAATTAATAATTCTGCTTGAAATATTATTTTTGTTAATTGTATTTTATATTTCAAGCGATGTACAAACACAATTTGACACAATCTGCATGTCTACATTTACGTTAGAAATTATTAGAAAACGCGAGCCAGTAAGCTGCCTTTAAAAATCAGTGTATAGCGGATTGCCATGAGGAGTGTGTTTTTCGTTTAATCGGAAAATGTTTTCCAAATTTTCTCTTTTTTCCGAATCTCCCGGGAAATAGTTACTCTCGGGATGCATTCTACCGAGAGCAGCCGACTCATCGTGGGGGCAGATTGCACTCTTTGGCAGACCCGGCTGAAAACATTTGCCACATGGCGCAGCTGCACAACCTACAAGATCGCGTTGCCTGTTTCCAATTCATTTTCCGTTGGATTTTCCCTCGCGTCCCTTTCATCGATACTGTCGAAGACAAACAATGGAGATACTAAGGCCTTTAAAAATCCAAATATGATGGCGGATCAATAAATAAACAGATAAACAAGTGTAATTTGTTAAAAAATTTTTATTAAAAAAAATACAGCCATTTCTCAACATAATCCTCTTATACACAAATGCATTTGTTTTGGATATCATTTTTGAAACCAATGCGCATATTTTTTTTTTAAAGATTAGTATTTCTGCAATCTTGCAATGGAGCGCGTTTATAAATAAACTGTCGGAAACACGTACAACAATAAAAATTGAACTAAACGGCGCTTAATAATTAATTGACATTTTATAATGAGACCACACGTGGTGTTGTAGATATAGTTCGCCCTTCACTCGTACTTATTTATTGAACCACCCTCGTATAAAAAATCAATTAAATTTGTCTCTATAAATAATATGCAATTATTGCATCCGGAAAAATATGAAGAAAAAAAAATTAGAAAAACTAAAATTTTTTCGGATCTCTTAAGTGTTTAATTAATAATTATTTTATATTAACTAAATACACTAAATGGAGTTAAAAAAGCATTCGATAGTAATCGCAGGGATGACTGATCCGCAAAATCATTTGATCTTAATGAAACCACAAACTTGAGGTCAATATACTGCAGGTATTCACGAAACATTTATACTTCACACAATCTCATATACGTATATTTTTGCGAGTGATAGCATTATAACGAGAAAGAATAAAAGTAGATTATAATTTGAGAACAAGAATAAAAAGTGAAGGAAAAAATATAGAGAACATGTGTCATGTAATGTTATTCCTCTGTCGTTGCAATTAAAGGGATTTTTCTCGGAAAAGAAAAGAGTTTGTTATAGTATTTTCTTTTCTGGCTTTCTCGCATTTCTCGGATAGCACCGCGAACACATGACATTATGACACGTGCGAACGTGAATTATATAATGTCGGATGGTGTCGTTGACATTGCGTTAATCACACCACGGTCACTAGCGGCTCGCGTTTTCGCTTCTCGCTAATTAATCGTAATTTATTAACGACGTCTTTGCTCAGCACTCGGGCACGGGCAGGTGAATAGAAACAACATGGGCGCGGTTTCTTCCTTTTTTCGTCCTCTTCCATGGCTTCGAGCATAGCACCCTGACCCTGGGTACATGGCCAGCTGTCTCACTCCACCCCTCTTGTGAGAGGCACACACTCTAAAAGTGGGATTTGTCTATCCCTGCTCAGGCAAAGAAGGAAAGAGAGAGAGAGAGAGAGCTATATGGTGTGCAAGGACGGCAGGATCGTCGGGCGAGAGAACCAGGGCGAAGGAACTTTTGTAGAGCCCGCGGAATAATTAGCATGCTCTCCTCGGCAGTCTAATTTTAATGGAACACCGACATACACCGGCGTTTCATATTGTAATTCGTCCTACATTGTAGCGCGCTCGCACGGTCTTGAATATTATTATCTACCGCGTTTCCTCTAGCGAGTCCTTACACACATCGAAGAGTATCGTGTGTATCATATATACTACTGCTCAATTATATCCGAGCATCCTGAAGAAATTTAGATAAAAATTTCTTCCGTCAAACATTAATTTTGTTTACACTGATTAAAATATTTTTATGATATCATATTTAGGTATAAATTAATTTATACGGCATTGAAATAAAGAATGTTGTTAAAAATATTTATAGAAGAAAAGATGAGACAAGCTATTCCACAAAATTAAGATAATCTTGTATCTATAACATAAGAAATACGATTAGAAGATAAACATTCAAAATCATAAAAAATATGTTGCACTTTAACTGAATAAAATATATATCGCGTTCTCACTTTTCGCTAATTTGTCAATCAAATTAACGGAAATTAAATTATTAATTATTACAATTTTATAAAGTCTATTTATATGTTCGTAATGGTAAATCAATTATCAATATGGAGATATGATAAATTATCATAAAAAATAAAAAATTTTTGGTGAGATTTATTAAGATATTTCATTGAACTATCTCTTTGAAGTGCTTAATGAAACTATGCCTTTTGACATTTAGAAAAATATTAAAAATATGTACATAAGTTTTTTAAGCAATTCTATGTGCAAAAGATTTTTATAAAATCTTTCAAGGATTTCTCTCGGTTTTCCAAAAACACCCGGTAGATTTCTGCAGGCCTTGCGTGGAGGCGCGAGTAAGAACACACACGCGTAACGCATTTGTACAAACGCATATTCGCGGTGTGTGCGCGATTGGCGCAAGAGGGAATAAGAGAGAGAGAGAGAGAGAGAGAGAGAGAGAAAGGAAGAGGAAAGCCGCGAGAGGAAACGAGCGAGTGAGCACGCATGCACGCTCACGCGCTCGCGTGCATGGTAGGCACGCATGCACGCAGACGGAGCGCGTACTCGGCTGCGAAAACCGGCGTGCGAAAAGCAGCCAATGGCGAGCAGAGGCGGGAATCGGTGGGGTCACCCACGTGGTTAACGAATGGCCAATCCGCGCTCCATCGCCGGTGGATTTCAAGTTTGTTTCCCGCTCAGTACACCGCGTTTGCGTTCGCGCACGAGAGAGACGGACAAGAGAAAGAGAGAAAGAAGCAAAAAAGCAGAAGAGTGCACGCGCGAGCAAGGAGAGAGTCACGAGTTCGCGAAAGAAGGAGAAAGAGAGTGCTAGCGATGGCAGAGGAAAAAAAGAAGAAGAGAGACGAGTTTGCATCGCGTCTCTACTGCCCCCCCTACCTTGGGAGGCAAAGGGGTGAAGGAGAAAGACAGAAAGAGGGGCACAACATGCCAAACGAGAGAGCCCCTTGGACATCGCGTTGTGGTCTAGCTAAAGAGAGCTTGGAAGGAAGGTGCGTCGCCGTCGCAAGGAGAGAGAGTGAGAGAGAGAGGAGAGGGGGGGGGAATTCCTTGGACACGCCGCGAGTCGACGTGAGGGAAAGAGACAGACTTGGCGAACGCGCGCGTCCCTTAAACTTGGAGCAATCGGGGAGAGCCATTTCTGCGAGGACACGCCGGCCGGTCTCCATCGTCGTCGGTTTCTGCGATCGAGCTGCTGACGGACAGCCACCGGAAGCGCGTCAGATTCGCGCAACAGCGCCGCGTTTGAGTTGTCAGAGAGGCAGACGGAGAAAAGTAGAGAAAGAGAGGGAGGGAGAGGGAGAGAGAGAGAAAGAAAGAGACCGCACACACAGTCGTCGCCTATCCGCGGATCGAGCGGCTCGCAGTCGGCCAGTTGAGGCGCGAGGAAGCCAACAGCGGAAAACAAAAGAAGGTGCCAAGCCCGTCGAGGACCGATCTCGTCGCAGAAGTCGTCCAAGGACCCCCGTGCTCTTACCCTGTGCATTTTGCCTCTCGCGTGTGCAGCCCGTGACCTACACGCGATCCGCGATCTGATCTACATCGTGTTCGGAACAACGGAGTCAAGAGTTATATCCCAGCGTCGTTCCAGCAAGGATATATCATCGGACACCTTCAGATCCCGCCGATCTAACCCGCGTAATTACTCCACTATCGCGCCGGTACCATATACGACTCCTCTTTCCTCCCGCTCGTCGAACCGCTCTGTGATCATCGCGATTCCCGTCGTGATCCCGTCGTGTCGTGTTCGCGTTCAAACCACTTCCCACCGGGTCCACGTAGACCCCGAGTCTACGACGAGGTCAGTACTCGGGGAATCGGGTACGCGAGTCCGCGCGCACGCGCACCGAATTCGTCGTTTTCGTCGAGCCTGATACACGTGACCGAGCCGTGTACTCGGTGGAAGCCGGCATCATAGCGTCGAGAAGCGAGCAGCCAGCCACCATGTCAAAGCTCTACGTGGGCAATCTGCCGTCAGATTGTAACGAGAGCGCTCTCAGGCAACTCTTCCAGGAGCACAGCCTGGCATGCACCACGATCCTGGTGAAGCGTGGCGGCTACGCCTTCGTCGACTGCGCCGATCAGTCCACAGCCGATCGGGCGATCGACAAGCTGAACGGTGAGTTGCTGACTTGAAATGAATTATGCTAACGCTGCATTTAATGCTTCCAATCATGCTTTATACATTGCTTCTCGTCGCGATGACAACAACGACGACGACGGCGACGACCACGAGAGGAGAGAAGAAGAAATCGAAGAGGAACGTCCATCTGCTTCATGCCGCTTTGCCAATTATTTGTATATTAATAAAACTCTTTTATCGCTTTGCCACTGCTTTTCTCCCCAAGCTTATGCAACTTGAGCTTACAAAACATAAATATTAAAAGCCAATCGGTTAATATTTACTATGTCTAATATTTACAATGTCTTTATATCTTAGCGCCAAGATAAAAGTTCTAATGAAATCTTATTGGAAAAAATCTTTAGGAGTCGCCTGGGTGATCGAATTACTTTTCAATTCTCTGCTTTATTAATCAAGCTGTCCCGATCCTAAAAATCCGTATCTTCCTGTTTGCTTAATACCTGAAAGTGGATCTTTGTTTGTATAATATGTAACACGCTATGCTTTATTTAGACGCTTCTTGCTAGATCATAAGAACGCCGAGTAGACTTAAGAATCTGCGTAGCATGCTTTCAATAGATTTTCTAAATGCTAGAACGAGTGTTTTGTTAAGCGCTTCAAAAGGATAGCCAATATATATCGAGGCAAGTCCCTCGAAAGATTTTTTTGTGAAAATATCTGTCAGGTTACTGTCACATCGATAGTTGATCGTCAATTTTTTTTCCAACATGCTTTAACGTGAAGTTGAAGGATATCGAGATGCTTTCCGATATCAACAAAATAATAACTGTCGATGTGATAAACAAAACTGTCGATATTATCATCATGTAATTATTCTGAGATAAAATTTCTTATATGCAAATTGCCAAATTGTAAAATTCTAATTATTTAGGTAGAAACATTAGACGTTTATTAAATTCGCAAATAATTAGCACAATATTAGAGTGATTGAGACAATTAGCGGCTGTTTGTAGGCGTAACCTCACGTTTTGTATGTGAAGAGAAATTTAAAGATTCAGTTCGCATTAATGAAAACTGCGCCTTTCCTGCCACCACTTTTCTCACTAATACTTAAAAAATTAACAAATTAAATAAAATTAAATAAATTTCGTGTATAGTAAAAAAAAGACTTAACAATTTAAACGACTCATTCAATCGTGCTGGTGATAAACGGATAAATAGTGACGTGTGTTGTAAATGAGTATAAAAAAAGTGTTTTTTTATAGCACTAGTTTTAATAGTATTTAAATATCTTCATTTATTGACGAGAAATTGAACTTTATGAATGATCGACTCGTGCGATGAGCGAATTTATTCGTGGTATATCTCCACGGACGCGCGCGCGAAATTAACGTTATATCTCGTACAGTCACTCGTTTCCTCCATAACCCGGAGATTGCTTCATTCACAAATAACGAACACGAGATTAGGTTTGAGAATCATTGTACCACCAATTTTGGCTTCCGTTAAAAAAGACGCGGTTCTTTCGCAACCGCGAAGTTTGAGCATCCTCACACATTCGGTATTCAAATTCCTTTCAGTTTCACCAAATCAGAAATCACGTCGTGTGCTCCGGCTCACACTAAAACATCAGATGAAAGAAATGTCAGAGAGATGTCAGATACAGAAAACCTTATCTTGTTTACTTCGAAAACAAGTTGCTACGATTACCAATGGTAACACTTCAAATGTTAATTTTTTAACATTTCTCCACAGTAAAATACATTAATTTCAAATATCTCGAATATCTCCGGTCAACCTAGTTACACAAAATAATCTATTGAATAACATTTTTAGAGAATATATAATATAATATATAGTGTAACTATCACTTTGATATTTATTTAATTTTTCTTCTGAATCAAACCTGAAAGAATCGTCGAATTGAAGTATTTCGCCAGTTATCTTATTTTTTCCCGAAATAGGACGGGACAATTCCGTCTGCTCCACTTTTGTGAAAAACTTATCCACGTGGTAGGTATCGCGTCGCAAAATGGCGCCAGTTACGATGCGACAAGGTCGCGTTTGTGTGCTCGCCTCCGCGATAAGTCGCTGATAATCGCGCGCGTCGACCAACCGTTGTCGATCACTCCGATTACGGGACTGGCTCTTCCCGCCAAAACGAAAGCTACGTGTGCACTCGAGGGATTTATCGCCGTTTAGACGGTCCTTCTTGGAAAGCAAAACGCTCGAATGGATCGTACAGTATAGTAGCATTTTTTACTTTACATCTAGAGCTTTCGATAACCGTTTTCCAGAGAATCTTTCGAATTTATATCTGAAAAAAATTTTGTAAAAAATTTTTTTCCATGTTTGCTATGTTTAGAAAAATATTGGTTTAAATTTTAACTATCAAGAATAACTAGTTTCGACATGTCTACTCTTTATTACCGTAACAAATTTTTAAAGAAGTCTAATAAAATATGTAGAATATTAGAAACAGTTGCAATCGAGAGCTAAAACTCGCCCATGAAATAAGAATAATGCCTCTAATGCCTTGGCTTCTATCCATCGATGTTACTTTTCGAGACATACGACGTGCAAAAATTGTCTGCCGAGTGGAAGTTAACTATGCGTGACGAAACGTCAGACGGCTGAACGTCCGTTAATCGTTAGACTGCCGGTGACTACACTAGCCAATGCGACTATTCTACACCCTCGCATTCGTTCAGACCACTAAATAGTATACTTTAGCTCGGTAACTTTGTATAAAATATTCTTTATCGAGAAATCTTTAAAAATAATTAACGTTCATAACATTTGTAGAATTTTATTAAACGTTAGTTCTTTTCTGTGCAAGATTTAATTTGCAAGGAAAGTGGAGCAAATTAATAACTTAGGGATATTTTACAGATTTAAAACTTGAGAAAATTGTGGGCTTATTGTTAGGATATACAAAAAATAACTGTTGGCACGGTCCAGGAGAGAAGACGCATTCTCTATAAGAACAATTCTTTAAAAAATTAGAAACGAGGAGACATTGTACAATCTATACATTTTGTATTTTCGCGTCAACCCCCTTCTCGTGCGAAATCATCATTTTGGTATGATCCTGACCTAACGTTCCCGACTTATCCCGTCGATCGTGAGAATTTGGACCGGCACTTGACTTCGAGGCTTCGAGTCACGCCCGTATGAGTAGTATAGTCAGTCGGCGGGTTCTCCCGCAGCCGAAGAGAAGAAATGTGGTCAAGGTCGCGAATGGTCGCGCGCGCGCGAGCACGCGTGACGTATGGAGCTGCCTCCATCGCCTCCGCCACCTCCGCCGCCATCGCGACGGCCACCGCCGTTCGTCTCCACCGAGGTTGAAATTTACATCGCGAATAGCCGCCGACCTCATCTCCTCGACTCTCCTCCGCCTCACTCGCCGAAAAATCGGTTAGTCACACTCGTCACGTTCCGCGGCCATGCCTGGTATCCAGATCATAAATTCCATTGACAACTCTGTAGCTCTCGTGCGCTCTCCAGCCCATCGGCGGCTACCTCATTACAGCGTGTTAATGCACGCACGTGTACGCATCGCGTCAAAGCGCCGTTTGAGACCACGTTTCACCCTTGAACTTCTCTGATGAGAAAACAGTCAAGACTAATTCTCCTATAAACGCGAGAGTCTCGAATATATTGGAAAACAACTTAAAATTAAAGATATGTATCTTTCTTTTTTTTTTTTTTTGAAGCGGCCTTGCAAAGCTATAACGCGATATATTTGATTCTCACGAAATATCGTTGAAAGAATAATTGTTTTGGCATTAGATATTAGACAGGACCTGTCAGAAAAAGAAAATCTTTAAAAAATACAAGAAATTTTGTTAAAATTTTTTTGTACTTTTCTTGAAATTAATTATTTATGCATAAATATTTTTAACATCACGAAATTTTTATTTAAGATGTTCTTTCTCATACATTTTAATAATTTTAAACAGAATTAAGTATATCCCGTTATATTCTAGAAAAGAGAATTTTAATTCTAAATTTTTAAGAACTTCTCCTTGAAGTATTTTTCCATCGTTCTGCAATTAATAAGATAAATTAAGTGTTAAGAATTTTATGCCTTTCTTACTGGGCGGTTTTCTTAGTGCATATAATCATACTCTTAGGTATATATATAGAGCGCACAAGGGCTACTTAGAAGTGAGCTACAGGAAGGAGAGCTGGGACGAGCCTCTTGGAGCTATCCATGGTGAACGCTTTCTCTTTCTACCTCTCTCTCTCTCTCTCTCTCTCTCTCTCTCTCTGCCTCTCTCTGTCTCTATATTTCGTTAGCAATACGGTCGTTGCTTCTGCAGCGTAAGGGCCGATCCTTGGATACAATGCCGCGCGAAGAACGTTACCGACGAGCCGAGGCCAGAACTAGTTTGGTGGGTTGTTGAGTTAGGTTTTAGGAGAACTCTACCAAAGCCGCGGTCTAATCGGACTTTAGGCGGCTTGCACGCCGCTCTGTCTAGCGAACGATTGAGCTGTGTGCTCGTTCGCATCGTTTTAGAGTTGTTATAGTAAATCGAAACGCGAATTATAAATACTTAGAATCCATATTTCGAAGTGCCGGCACAATTATTATCAATTAACTATCGATAATAAATTAATATTTTACTTCGAATATATGAATATATTTTACAAAATTTTATCTTCAATCCAATTACATAAGTACAATAATTACAAAGAACAAAAAATGTTATAAAATGTAATAATTATTTAATTATAAATAACGTGAAATTAATGCAAATAATTAATAAATTTAACAAATTTTTATTTTTTACATTTATTCGATTTTTTAATAAGAATTATTATAATAATCTCAAAATTTTTATCCGCAATGCATTTTTATGACTATATATCAAAAGTTAAGATTAATATTAAAACACGAACGGATTTTTTTCTATAGCTAATATTGTAAAAATATATTCGATTGTTTACAATAATTTACAAATATTATCTCGTTTAGTCTCCTATACAAGAATCTTCTGGCAATGTGTACTTACACGAAAATGCTTTCAAGG